ATTTCTTTTTATTGATTATACGTAAACATATCATATTTCTACAAAGAAATTGATTATTAATTCGATCGAATGGCAAGCTAAAGGTACGTCTCACACTTAAATCCTCTCAAATCTCAAGTCTCTGAATTTCCACGCGTAACCAAGAACGGTCTTTCCGACGTAGGGCATAGGAACTTCTCAAATGTGTTAAATTGGCAAGCTTCGCTCTTGTTACCGATTGGTTCCAACATATTGTTCCACAAATTGTTTGCAACTTGAAATACATACGAGGCAGATTTTAATCACCGGCATAGAAATTATCGGGATGCGGAATTTCGTTATTACTTACTTATTGCATGAGCTCTCTGGTTAAAATGAAAGTAATCGTTAGCGAAATACGATAAATCAACGAGGTTGTCCTCGGCCAGCGGTATAGTCGTATGTTTAAGAACTGGTACAAATACTATAGTGAAGTCATTTGTATTGAACTCTGGATAATTAGTAATTTCCTCTTCCATATATTGCCACCTATGAACACAATACACAATGCACAATACGTGAAAATTGAGAAACAAAGATGGCAGAAAATTCAGTTCAGAATTATACAAACCTTTCTATTACTTCATAGTATATTGATCTTTGATCCGCATATTTCGAAGCAAACATACATGGACAAAATATCATAGAAGAGAGGTAGCATGTCCACATGCTGTCCCTTCCTTTGCGTGTAGCAACAGCTTCTTTCATGTGAGGCGGTGTTGCAAGAAAGACGAGAGTCCTTGGTAAATTGTCCCTAAGTATTCTAAGAGCACTAATTAGGTCGTTTCTGTGACTTTTTAATATAGACCACGGACATGGAGCTGTACACATATTCCCACAAAAGTCATTGCATCCAATCATCAACGTAATCAACTGCAAATCACATGAATGGATCAAATGAGGAATAATACTGGAAATGGTAATTTTCTTTTTTTTTTTCTTTTTTTATTTGAAATTGTACAACAAAATTGTAATTTTTTTCATACAAACCTTCCAATGTTTGTTCACATCTATACTCGAATCGTTTCTCATTTTATTCACCAAATGTCGCGCCATGTAAGGCATATCTCTAGACATCGCGCCAGTTTCGGCAACATTTAATCCCGCGGCTGGATCAATACTTATAGAATCGTCGTATGCATACCCTATTAAGTTCGGATTGTATTCCTATGTGTGGGGAAATTTCTGCTGTACCAATTACTCAATTTATATAGAGGAGGGATGGTACAACCTAATAGGAGGTGAAAATAAAAATTTCGCCTTGGAAAAAAGACGAAAAAAATTTTATATACAAATACGCTTTTCGCTTCTTCGTTTTGAATACTCGCGCCTGCCTCCATTAAATTCAAGTATACTTGATGAATTAGGTATAAATCAAATTTAACACGTCCCGTGCCAAGCGATTTTTGCCTTTTGTTGTCGTTCAAGCCATTTGATATTTTGACTAAAGGTATATTGATATATTATCACACAATCTTTCATTAGATCATCAGTCGATAAGTAGTTCTCTTGTTTAGAGTAGCTATCACATCGTGTACCACTTGTGGTAATATCATCATTAGAAATATGGTGGTAACACGTGGCCTGAAGATCAAGTTTAACGTGTGCCTGAAGATCAAGTTCAACGTGTACCACCGGCGGTACACATGGCACGGAACGTGTTAATGAACCTTCAAATTTAGTCTTCCCTTTCGATTTATTGTTTCACCTTCTACTCGATTCTACTGATCCTTGTGGATTTGTGACGAGCAATACTTTTAAAATGTTCGGGAGCGTGAGGTATTTCCGCCAAGTGGCTTGACCGCCGATAGTCGCCACTATGCCCCTGTTTTCCACCGCTAAATCCAAAATGTTGACCGAGGTCATTCCAAAGCCGGCTATCAAAGAATCGCCCATCGCGGCAATGACATCTATGTCTCCTGGCCTCAGGCGATGAACTGACTCGGGAACTTCGGCAGACCTACCATCTAAAAGTATACCAATGAATTTTCCAACACAAACATTTTACAGTACTATGGAACTGCAAAATAGGCTCGGAATAAATGCACGTCTCAGTTTCGGAAAATAACATCTTCGGCAATTCTTTCGAAATGAGACTCAAAATCAGAATATAAAATTTACTATAAAATAGAATAAAAAAAAAACAGGACGAAGAAAATAATTTTCTGCCTTCTTCCAAGTAAATTGTATCCATTTGAATTATGTAACCCGTGAAATTTATGTATTCAATTTGACAAACTGGATATTTAGTTAATTCACCTGTCACGTTGCAAGGGAACGGAACGTCTGCTGGAATTTCATCTTGGAATTTATTTTCATCCCGCAATCGGAGCATTCGCGCCTCATTCTTCGTGCCTGAAATGATCATTTTTCCAACTATAAAAATGTGTCACGTTTACGATTTCAATTAACTATAATAACCGCGCCCGTTATACAATAATCACACTAATTTTTTTGTGTTTCATATTCATATCAATGCACGTGATGTTTCACATTGTCCGACAATTATTGAATTAAGTATGCCTCGATTAACATATTACGTATAGATAATTGAGAGAGAGAAAAAAAAATTGGATTCCTCCCATTCTGTTAGATAAGATGTAATTAGGTTCAACGAAGGACTCCGTTTTTTAAAATTTAATTTTCATTTCTTTCTGTTTTCCGACGAAATTGTTCACATTGCCTGAATTTCTTCTCTTTCGTTTCAATTTGTCATGCTTTCTGCAAGACTCGCTTCGCTATAAATTAATATCAATCTGTGAAAGAAACGAGACTAACGTAGTATTCCTCTCATAAATGTTTCTCTGGCGAGGAACAATGGAGAAGAAATTATTATGGTAAAAGACTATGGTATTAAACAAAGAAATACGTACCATAGTTATTCGCTAAATATCTACGATATGCACGATACGGACTTCTTATAGCCGAGCTGTCCAAAATACTCTTTTCTGCCACAACGAACACGCATAATTGTAAGAGAAGACAGAAACAGAGCTTCTCCATCGTAAGATTTTCCTCTTAATTACGTGACGATTCCAAATTCGATTCACAGTCAACGTCGAGTACTTGTCATCATGTCGAAGTATTCAAATATGTACTGACGATCGTTTGAAACATTCGCAGAAGATATAGGCACAACTGTTTCACTGACACGACAGTTTGTTCAGAGATGTATATATATACACACACATATATATATATATAACATACACATCAATTATTTATGACATGAAACGTATACATATGTACAACTTTACAACGATAGGAGATAGGAGATCAGTGTTTTTTGAAAAAGATCTCTTCACTGCGATATATCAATCGATGCATATTTTTATCTTCTACACGAAAGTGTTGAGACACTTGTGTTTAAATATATTTAATTAAAGAAAAAGAAAAAACATTTGAACACCTCTCATGAGACATGCCACAGTATTGTAAATCGATGTGAATTTACATTTTCTTCACATCACATTTTAAATTAGCTTCACTTTTTTTTTTTTTTTTTTCTTTGCAACGACAGAAATAGAATTTTTCATAAAT